AATTTTCTAAAATATATTTTTATCATTTACACGACATACAAAACATACATGCATACACTTGAAATTATTATACAACTATCAATCATCATACTTTAAATAAGATTGAATTTTGAGTCATAACACAAATGGATTTAATAAAATAAGGAACATTATATTTTCCATTTTAAAGATAAATCAAATGACATTAGTCCAAAACATATTAAACTCTTTATAAATATATTTATTTATGTGACAACTTTTATTAAAGACAAATTCAATACTTTATGATCAATATTTATAAAAATATTAACAACCAAATTTTATATTCAATTTCTTTGTAGATAAATACAAATTCACTTTTATATTAGTATATCACACAATAAATTATACAAATCAAATAAATACACACTTTATCTTATACATCACATTTAATTATAAATTTTTCAACATTGAATGCAACAAGATGATCATTCAGTGCACTTGAGTACTTCTCTTTGTTCATCTTTTTCAAGAATCTACATTCACTTTCAAAATATCTTGATTTGCTAAAATGAAAGCAAATTCCTCCTTTTCTTTTTCTTTGTCCATTTCCATTGCTGTCATGAACCTTTTCATCATCTATCTCCATATTATCATTGGACTTTTTGGATTTTCCATCTTCCACAACATGTATTTTCTCATGAGTAAATTGGTATTTAGAAATAAGACTTGAATAAGATCATGATTTTGATAGAGCAATGACATTCCAATTTTAGATTTCCTTATTCCTTAATTTCTCTTCCAATGGAATGAAGAGAATAAATATTCTATAATATTTTCGGGTGTCTACAATCGGGGACCATAACCCTTTATTTATACGAATCTTATGCCCTTTCATAAAGAGTCATGTTCATTCATCTCATGCACTTTCATGAAGGGTCGTGTTTATTCAAGTCTAGAATCTCATGCCCTTTGTTGTATTCAAAACATATATCACTTTCAAAAGTTTTATTTCAAGAAAGGGCATGGGATTCTAGACTTGAATAAACATGACCCTTCACGAAAGTGCATGAGATGAATGAACATGACTCTTTATGAAATGGCATAAGATTCTTATAAATAAAGGGTTATGGTCCCCGATTGTAGACACCCGAAAATATTATAGAATATTTATTCTCTTCATTCCATTGGAAGAGAAATTAAGGAATAAGGAAATCTAAAATTGGAATGTCATTGCTCTATCAAAATCATGATCTTCTCATTAACCTTTTATGGATCCTAAAGGTACGCTTTCGCTTTCTATTTCATCTTGAATTGAGTATGGTCTAATAAAGTATTGATTATTATGTAGCAGAAAAAATTGTGAGTATAAGCTATTGATTAACTTCACTCATAAAACAAGAGTCGTCACCACACTTTTATTTTATCCAAAGGAAAGGAAAAAGAGTGAACAAGATCTAAAGAAGTTCTAAAACAAGAATAAATAAAAAGAGACAGGGTAAAGGGGTTAGTTACGCAAAGAGAATGTGTTATCACCCAAAACGTTTATAGTACTCTACAGGAACCTCTTTGAAATATCTACACTTTTTGGTTCGAAAAGGGTTTGCTTGTAAAAGATTGGGGAGGTGAGAAGAGAAGTATATTTTTTATAATTTTTTTTTGACAAGACTTCTTGAGCCTCATGCCTACGTACCCACAAAGTGCAATAGAGGATCAAAATATCGTAGTTCGTGGTAAAAATAACAAAAATGGTTTGTTTTGGTTCATTTTAAATGAAAAGACAAGTTGTCATTTTAAGGAGAATACAACAACTAATCACCCACAAGTAATGAGAACTTTGTATCACAAGGAGAAGGGCTCCAACTTGGATAAAAATCAACAAGTATGTCACTAACTCTCACAAGTGGAAAATAATTATCATCAGTACTATGGGGATAGAAGAATTACATCTCAACTATGGAAATGACTCATGTCTAAACTTTTTGAAAAGTTTAAAAGAAAAAGTGCACAAAGGCACAAAATGATTGAATGAGTTTTTGTATTTTTTTTAAAGTCTTTTAAAAAGGTTTAAATATGCTTAAGATGTCTTAGCATTTATTAAAGAAAATATTTTTAAAATGCACTTGACAAAGTCAAGGTTTATTAAGAAATTGGTTTTAGTTTGAAAGAAGAAGATTTTTGAAATAGGGAGGAGATTTTGAAATTTTAAGAATGGGGAAGAGATGAAGAGGCTATTTTAAAGCATAAAATAAAATCTAAGGACAAAGAAAGGTCTAATCACGATAAGATAACTAACTCCATGACATAAGTCAATCAAGAATTACCTCTTTTAGATTAAGCCCCAAAGCCAAATAAGCAATAACAATCTAAGCATGAGGTTAAAGCATAACCAAGATGAGTCTTCAAGAGAATCCCTAAGGCAAGGGTACCATATGAATCCACATAGGTCTTAAGATGTACTTTCAAGCCAAGGTCAAAGTCTTAATTCTAAGTCAAAAACTCCATAATGCATAGGTGTCGCGGTGAAAATCGGAGACCATAGCTATTAAGTTAACTAAACTTCACAAATCTTAAGATATCACCACCGATCTTTAATTTATCCAAGGGAAGGAAAAAATAAAGAATGTACCCAAAAGTATGCAATGCAAAATAATACAATAAAGAGGTCTAAGGTACGGGGGTTGGTTATACTAAGGGAATATACTAACACCATAAGTATTTATAGTATCCTATAGGAACCTCTTGTTGCATTTGTGTTATTTGTTAAGTTGTTTTCTATTGGGATTGATTGGGGAGATGAGAAGAGAAATGTTTTTTATTGTTTTTTTTTGTCTTTGGCAAGACACAAAGTCTTGTGCCTACGTACCAATATAGGATTAAAACCTCGTCGTTTGGGATACAAATTGAAAAGGGTTTGTTATGGTGAATTTTAATGAAGAAGAGACAAATTTTCATCTTAAAGAGAATACTCAACTTATCCACCACCAACATGTGGAAGAAGGATCTTTGCTTCATATTGAGAGAAGAACTCCAACTTGTATGTATAATCAACAAGTATGTCACATACCTCTCTCAAGTGAAAAAGAATCAACAACTTTCTCAACAATGTCATAGGGTAGGAGATTTATATTTCAACTAAAGATGACTAATCTTTAATCTATTTGAAAAAGTTTTAAATTGAAAAGGCAAGTGGCAAAGTTTTGAATAAGGTTAGTGTCTTTTAGTCTTGTGAAAAAGTTTGAATATGCTTAAGATATTTTGAATCATTTATTGAGAAAGAGTTTTGAAAAGTCAATGACGTAAGGTTAAGCTTTCTACTATAAATAGATTTTATGTTTGAAAGAGGAAAACCTAATTATGAACCACCTAAAAAATACTCATAATCATATTACATAATTTTAATTACTCACCAGAAAAAAAAAAATATTTAAAAAACAATAGTAAAAGCACTGTTACGAAAATCGATACCGATTACTATTTAATTTTCAATTACATATAACTTTCAAAATATGTTTACACATTTGATAATTGTATATCAATTTGAATCATATATCATAGCTTATTCATAGATATTACAAAACCACCAATATTAATTTAATAGGCAATTCAATTTAGTTGGCAAAGATTATATAAAACCATCATTGCACGACCGCTACTGCAGTGATACAACTATGCACAAATCATTTATATATTCTCAACAACAAAAAAACAGAATTACAAATATTTAATTAGATTAACAATTTAAACAATATATTGTTATAATACAACTTGAACGACAACGGCTACGATAACAATATATTGAATTAGATTAAAACGAATTAAAACTTAATCGAATAGAATCAAATGATTAAACCCTTTATTCATACATAATCACTACACTATGATTATATTTGAATCAATAATTTAATTATAATCTAAACTCTAATACCATTTGTTAAAATTAGATTAATAATGATTAATCAAAACATACATATTCAAGAAATTATAATATATAATTTAGGAGAGGAAATTAAACATATACAAAATTAAAGGATCGATAAAATATTTTTGGAATACCTTGATCCATTTAGAAAAATCTCTTTGACGGTAATCCTAAAATCAAGAAGTTGATAACTTTTGTGGTTCTTCTTTAACCGGTATTTCTTATGCCTCAAATTCTCTTCAGATGGAGAGAAAAGATTTGATTGTGTACGGTATATTAAAGACCATATTCTATATACAGTGTGATGACCAATTAGAGTTTCTATTATTTTCAAATGAATCATCCTGACATTCATTTATATTTGAGTACATAATTATTTAAAACACTTTATTTAATAAAGTAACTAATATAATTAAATAAATATATTTAGCCACATAATTATATTAAACTAAATTATTAAAATATTCCAATAATTTATATGTTATATTTGCTATTAAAATTACAACATACTAAAAGTAATAAATAATAAGGTTCAAAGACATTCATGAGCATGTTACCTAGAACTTTGAAATATAAAAAAAAAACACTCAGTTAAAATTTGTCTTTGACATTAAAATTTACAGAAAAATTCGTTAACTTACATATAGATTTATCTATTTAAACATTGTTTTTCTTATCTATATCTATTGACATCAAGGTTAATTTCCAAAGATAGATAGATTTGTGGTTACTTTTTTTCTTCCTCAAATTGTGTAGAGAACCCTATCTTCTGCATGAATAAACAAAGGTTTGAGAGTTTTTGATTGTGTTCTTGGGGTGAAGCGTTCTTGTTGTCTAATAGCAGAATTGTGTTTTTGTTGATAGTGTTTTAGGAGTCGAGATCTAACCTTCTCTGTCTATAATGCGGTGAACTTGTTTTTTCTTCCAGTTTTTTCTCCGTTTTTTCGAAGGGTTCAAAAAGAGATGAGTCTGATTTTATTTTGTATTTTCGAAAGGTTCGATGTCTTTGCGTGGACCCCTCCTGAACCAGAATGTAACTTTTTGTGATCTGGCACTTCTTGCACTGATATATTGAGCCCTTAGCTTTACTTCACACACACCATCACATAAACACAAGAACATGAACCTTGAAAAAATGGAAGAGAAAGGTGGTCTTGGATCATGGTCCACCGGCTTCTGTGACTGCTTTTCTGATTGCAGCTCCTGTAACTCTTCATATACTCTCTTCATACAATTCTAGATCTCTATAGCACCGCCACTTTTGAAATCCAGTGTCTAAAAATATCACTAGATTATTAGTATTCATGTGTGAGTGTCGGTGTCGTATTTATTTTTATTGTTTATGAGTTGCAGGCTGTCTCACGGTGTGGTGCCCCTGTGTTAGTTTTGGAAGAGTAGCTGACATAGTGGATAGAACAAATTGTGAGTGTGCATGTGATTCATATCTTGTTGGTGCATTATGAAAAACTAGTATAGTAATATTAGTACATGCATGCAGCTTGTTGTGTGCAAGGAACAATATTCTGTGTACTTGGTGGATATAGTCCATTTCTGTCGCTGTATTCCTGCATTTATCGTACCAAGTTGAGAGAGCAATATGGGATTGAAGGAAATAGATGTAAAGATTGTATGGCTAGTTGTCTTTGCCCTCGCATCTCCATTTGTCAAGAGTATCGTGAACTCCAAGCACGTGGATTCGATGTCTCTGCAGGTAATTGAGTTCGATGCCCATTCATTTAAAGTTCTTTGAGAATATGAGTTTTTCTATTTTGACCAAGACGTCTCTAACTACTTCTAACGGTTTCTAAAGTGACTTGTCTACCATTTGTTATGACATCATTTCTCGCGTTCATCTAATGTCTCGCGTTCATCTAAACAACACAAGTTAAGCTACTAGACAAATTAATACATTTTTAAAAATTTAAGAATAATTAACCCTACGTTATGAGTAGTGTAGTCTTCTTTTTGTTGTTGAAAATTTAAGTGAATTTGGAAATGTTTGTGTTTTTGGTTCTACATAGGTTGGAAAGGGAACGTGCAAATGGGTTCCCGCGGTGTCACGGCGGCTCCGGCGGTGCAAGGTGGCATGAGTCGTTAGCCCAATATATTACGTTTGTGTCATGTTCTTGGTTTGTTGTGGTGACCAAAATGAAAATCCATGTGTTTATGTACTCAAGATAGTGTGATTTTCCTTAATTTGTAATGATGGATGTTTTATCTTTAATGTTGAGTTGTTTTTTTCGTAGTGAGTGAAAATGAAATATAAGTGTCGTTGCAATCAAGGAATGTGATTATTGTTATAAATAATCCAAAAATTTGCTATGTGTTGTTGTTATATTATTGGTCGTGACTCGTGTGTGAATTGTATCCACTAAAGATTTATGCTCTATTATGCACCAAATTAAATGTTTTGATGTGTATTAAATTTAATAAGATGTATCAAACTTTTTTTAATTGTAAGTCACTTTTAAAACAAATATTTATATTAAAATATGTGTTGCTTTATAATGATAAAAAATTATTAATAATATTTATTTATTAAATTTTTAAGTATTTAATATTGAGAAAAAGAAATATACACTAATAATATAAAATATTTTTACACTATCAATTAATAACAACATGAGAAAAGATATTCTTAAATTGATTTTTGACATATACACCGTAATTCAATACAAAATACATACTAATTCATTTCTTTAATAATTTAATTTATATTGGTTTGCGTGCAAGACAATTTTGCTTTGTTAATAAATACGGTGTATGATACAGTGTAGCAAATACAGTGTCACAATAGCAAAACTGTAACAACATACATATATTCCACTACATCATATTTTTGTTTTAAAAATACTATTATAATTTGACACTTTAAAATAATTTAATTAAATATCTGTGTAATATTTTTTACACTCAAATTGCACTACTCTTAAAATCTTTAGTATTATCTTTATTTTTCAATTCTTTCAATTTATTTTATTAATATCATTATTAATAAAAAAAATAACTTTGTAAAACCTCTTTAAGTTTTTTCGCATTTTTTAACATGTATGAAAAATTCAAAATGAATAATTATAAATTACGAATGTAGTAGTTTATAAAAATGAATTGATTATATCTACTATTAATAGTTTTTAAAACTCTGGTCATTGTATTTATAAGAGGTATGTGGATCAACAAAAGTTATATAGTTATCTAGGATTCAAAGAAATCAAATTTATAAACCTATATTACTCTTATAAAAAAATAGAATGAGGTATTGTATGATAAAATTTTTATTACTATTAATTAAATATAATTTAATATATTTATACACATTATCACATATTTTATTTAAAGTCTGTGTATTCTTAAATTTAGACATTCAGTTCTCGTTGAATGTGACTCATATGCAATATGCAAACATTACTTTTATAATGGATAATAGAAGTTGGAAGAATATTTGAATGATCAACACAACAGTTCAACTCTTTAAATTCGTATTTAGATTGAAAGTGAATTTTTATAAGAGTTTGTTAATTGGTGTTAATATTCATTATTTTTTGTTAGAGGAGGGCACAGAGGTCCTAAATTTTGAGGTTGGAGTAGTCTCGTTCAAATATTTGGGGCTTCTGGTATAAGGTAATCATCGGAGTAAGGAAGGGGCTTTGAAAATCAATGGTTGATATAGTGAGAAGTATGCTATCTTCTTGGAACAACAATTATTTATCAATAGGTAGTCGTATTTAACGTGCGCGGGGCCGCAAGTGCACGACAATTCCAAGTGGTATAGTAAGGTTGAACCCACAGGGAGATGTGTATGAATACAAAAATTTATAACGATGTTTAGCTAAAGTGATCACAATTTTGGTTGGTTTATGCAAATTAAAATAATTTAATAAATAGATAAAACAAGACATGGGGTTTTGATCATCTATCTGCCATACCTTGAAAAATACGATCCTTCGCGAAATGTATCGCGAAAAATTAGTTCTAACAGAGTCGCCACCGAACTTTATTTATTCCAAAAAAGAAATGGAAAATATGGATAAAACCCTTAAAAGAAGAAAATGGTTGTCGCAACCAAATTCAGGCTCGGGAGTCGATTACGCAAGGGGGAGGTATAAGCACTCCTCACGTCCGTTGTACTCAACGAGAACCTCTTAGTCTAATTTGTGATTGAATGTTAACTTATGTTATTTGTTTTCTTCAAAGTTAAAATGCGAGAGGGAAAAGAAAAAGGGTTGCAAAAGGGTTTTATCTAAGGTTGCTTGCTATTTGGGAAAATGGAGGTTTTTTTATTAGTATGCTCGTCAAGGTCTCACAATCTTGTACCTACGTATCCTCATAGTACAATAAGAAAATCATAGCTTCGTAGTTCGGACAACTACGGTTTTTTGGTTCGTTTATGGAGTGATCCTTTAAAGATATCGAGTGACTAAAGCTTCGGTTGTTGCTCGCTCTTGGAGTCAAAAGTCTTTGTTTGCTTCACGTCGATATGGATATAGCATACTCGTTTTTTGAAAATGTTTTAATCGCACAGAGTGAGAAGTTGAGTTAATATGTTGAATATTTTATCTGGATGACAATTACTCGGATGGTCGAGTAAGGAAACTCGTATCCAAATAATCGAGGAGACGAATCGAAGGCTCGAGACCATCTCCTTTTTCATCCTTAATTGTGAAAGGATTCAATATAATTAAAGTGTTTTGAACAGATGACGAATACTCGAATGGCCGAGTAAGGCTACTCGTATCCAAGTATTTGGGAAAGGGAATAGAAGGCTCTATACCACTTTCCTTTTCATCTAAGTCTTTAGAAAAATAGGTTTGTTTTAATTTACTTAAGATGTTAAATGTGAATTGGATTATAAATTTTTAGAGCCGACAATTGTTTGGATAGTGAGTAAGGCTACCCATACTCAAACAATCAAGGAGAAGAATCGAAGGTTCGAGATCGTCCCCCTTTTCATCTTTAATGAAATAGTGTTTAAATATCTGTTAAGTATCATAATAAACGACGGATACTTGAATGACCGGGTAAGGCTACTCATATCCAAGTATTCGAGAAGAGAATATAAGGCTCTAGACTACTTCTTTTTAGTTTAAGTATTTGTGAAAATGATTTGAATTCGAATCGGATAGGTTGATGGTTGTCATACCTCAATTTTTTCCTACCCTTTCTCTCAAATCTTATGACTTATGCTTTTCTTTTTCATCACATACATACCCTTCATTAGGGCATATTAAACACATCATGCATTCATTAACATCAGTGCTTGTTACTTGGATCAGAGGTCATAGAGAGTTAGGGTTTACATAATGTACTAAGGTTTCACCTATTTTGCAGGTTTGTTTCAATTGAAGATGCAAAAATCATGGACTAAGGTTTGTCCCTTGTGCTTATGGTTATTATACGAATCCTCAAAGTTTTACTATGCAATCATCAGGAGCATCATCTTCTAGTACTCACCATCATCACTTTACTAGGGTTTATTTCCCTGATCATATGACCTTCAAGAGGTTCCTTGTGAAGCTTGTGCATCATATCATACAAAGGATTCCATCATTGCTTGAAGTGCAAGTCATTGAGGAGATTTTTGGGTTTTCATGTAATTAGGGCTTTCTACACTATAAAGGTTTATTCTTCAACCAAGATGGCAGGAATCATGGATTGATATTCTTCTCTTGTGCTTACATTTTCCAGTTGGTCCTGGAGCTGGTGATGATTACTAGGTGGATAATCTCATTAGGGTTTTACTTGGGGTCATTCATTATGGGAGAATATAAGTAATTAGTTTTCATGCAAGGACTTGATATATCATTATGTGTGGAGGATCATTGATTGGGTTTAAAGCACATTCACTCATGCTTGGTCAAAGTTTTGAATTGGATTTAACATGCTATTTGTTTCTATGGTAGTGAAGCTTCTTAACCAGATGTTTCTTTTGTGGTTAAGGTCCTACTTTCTCATGTGTGTGGAATGATTCTCACTTTAGTGATCAATTGTCATGTGATTACAAGTTAGTGATTACTGGATCTTACTTTAGATTTGAATTCAAAAAAAAGTTTGGACTTCATCAAGGTTTGATTAAAGGAGGAGAAATTATTTCGATTTCATTAAGACTTTTAAAGACAATAAAACTTCCATTTCATTCAATTTTAACTTATGTTACAACTTATTCCATTTACAAAACAAGGCTGCAAAGCATTACAATACTACCAAAAGGGAAAATTACATGAAAAATCCAAAATCTATGTCCATTCTTAAACCAATTCCAAATATACATATTCATTTTCAAATAAAATTTAATCCACATTAAACCATTTTCCTAAGTCTATAACCAAATATCCTTGTCCATTTCAATTTCATTTCATTGTCCAATATCCATAACCATTTTTTTAGTCCATCACAATACCCAAAGAACCATATCCACATTCAAATATCATATCTAAAATCCAAATTAAACCAAAATACAAAATAAGCCAAAGTTTTGATCCATTTTCAAACTATATCAAAAGCCCATATCCAAATATTCATGCTCAATCTAAACCATGATTCAAGCCACATTCAATTACCATACCATTACAAATCAAAGAGAAACTTTACATTACATTCAAGTATCATAAACCTAGTCTTTCTACACACCTAATCTTCAAAGCCATCACGCAACCTAAAACATAAAGCCATGACAAGTTTCTAATACCACTAACATTTTACAATAGTTCAGCAGTAATGGTTTAGCTCACATTATAAGAGATTAGAGGTGAATGAAATATTATATCTTTTATTATTACTTTCTGTCAGTATAAATACAAAGGTTGAAAAGCCTAATTATGGACTGAATCAAGGTAATCAAATCTCCTCATAATTCTCCTCTAACCATACGCTGATCTTTAGCCTAAAGAATAGGGATTTACAATTCTAAGTGATTACAGGAATTGAGACTAATTATTAGTATTGATATCCTCCCGCAAGTTGTATAATATGGAAGAGATATGCAACTTGGACAGTAACGACTCAAACCGAGGGCGAAGTAGAGGCTTTGTAAAAATATCGGCAAGCTGATCATCTGTAGACACAAAAGACACCCGAAATTTGCCATTTTGAACATTTTCT